CGGTAGTTCCGGGGTTGTGAGCTGTTCGGTGCGTGCCTCGGCCTCCGCTATCGGAGCAGTAGTTGAGGCCTCCTAGCCCGCTGCGCCGGGGAGGACCCTCCGGCGGCGCCGAATCACCCGGCCTCGGACTTGCTGCTGCTGCTTCCTTGGGGCAGCTCTTCAGCCCAAGCCCATGCTCGTCGAAATACTAGAGTGAGTTCTAATTTTTTTTGGACGAACTTGAAATAGTCCCTAGTGTTTAAGAAGTCCAAGTCCGGGGGTTAAAACCCATGAATGTAATCTCAAGAATTGAAGGGATGGATCGCCGGCACCGTTTTCTAAACAGTGTAAATTGTGCTGCACCAGCAGCTGGCTTAGCCTGGGTGCTGGAGTCATTCAGAGTCCCTCAGTCCAGGCGGAGCCCCGCTAGCCGCCCAGGCTTTGCCCGGACCTGCCTGCGTCTTAAGACTAAGACGGACCCAATTAGTCTGTGCTGCTCCACTGGCAAGCCATGGCGGTTACCGGGAGTTACCTCTTGGTTAAGCAAATCATCAAAGTAACAGACAGATTGGACATCCGAAGAGACTTGGCTTTGCTGATAAATCATTTTCCCTGGCAAATGTGCATCCTAATTCTAAAGATAAATTACCTTTTATTCCCCTTGGGGAGTTTGGCAGGTGGTGTATGGTGACCCTGACCATGCCCTTTTTGGGTTGTACACGTGGATCTAAAATGTTGGGTTCTGTCAGGGACAAGACCCTAGGGGTCTCGGCAGTCTGCAGTCACGCTCACAGGGACACGGCAGGACTGCTGGCCTTAACCGATGGGAAAACAGGCCAGTAAGTTCCCTGGAGCACGGTAGGTGGGCTGGGGTTAGAGGCTGTGCCCTCACTAGGAGCAGCGTAATAGTCCTGCAGTTGATCATTCTTCACCTGGAACTTGGCTTAGGTTAAGCAGTTGTGCTGCTGCCTGTATTCTCTCCCCAGGAAACGATAAAGCCAGCAGTGAGTGTCCAGTAAGTTGATATTTCTTCAGCTGGCTTGTTTTCCCGGAGGAAGTGTTGATGCTCTTTGCTGCTGGTTTGGCAGTGGAGTTCTCAGACTCATAACATTGTTTATCTTTTTGTTGTTTTAGGCAGCAAATGAAGTGAAGAGATAAGCTTGTTACTGGCTTTGGGAATCAGTCTGGAATCTGCCATGCTGTTACCTTGCAAGCAGAAAAATGTCATGTGAATTCTGGAGCTACTGAAGTAATTATTCTTACTGGATTTAAAACTCGTGAGGAAAGCCTCCTGAAATCTAGAGTTCTAAAGCTAGTTTATGGCTTGTAAATTCTCTTACAGGTAGAACAAGATGGAGTATGATTGCATGTAGGGTTAAGAGGTTGAAATTCTAACAAAAAGTATTATGGCAGCTATAAAACCTGTGAGACTTGCTCCCCAGAACAAAGCAGGTGCAGTCCAGGGATTCTGAAGGAATCGGAGGGAAGAGGTCATAGCATCACAGTACCTGGTTTTTAACTGGGGACTTCTGCTTTGAAGAGTTAACAGATGCCAGCTGGAAGTGAGAGGCTGAAGTGAAGAACAGTGTGTGTTCAAATCGCCATCCCTGCTGGCCCTTAACCGTATTGGTCTGTTGGAATATATTCCACAGGGAAAGGTGACTGGCAGTGAACTTCAGCTCTAGAGAGATACTTTACATCTGGGGCTTGAATGTGACAACAGGGAGGGACCTGCATTTTTATGCCCAAAGAGAGCTTTTTTCTCTTGTTCCTGGCTGTACAGAGTCCGTTCTGTGCTTAACAGTTAAAACCAAGGTTCTATGCTGATTTGTAGAAGCGCATCTCTTGAGGGAAATTTAACAAATCCCCTACTGTTTGATACCCGGAAAAAATTACACCAGTCTTATCACAGGCAGGAAAGTTTTCTGGCATCATGATGATCACTCTTTGCCGTTTACCCAACTGAATTTTGTGATGAGCAATGTTGTATCTGATGTGCCAGCTAATCAGTAGGATTTTTTCAGTTTTATTTGCTACCATCATTTCTGATTTCATTTATTCTTTTAAAGGTGCTCTGACATCAGATGACCTTCCATTGTCCTCGAGCTTTGTGTATGCACGTACAGCTAACGGCAGACTCCACCTGCTCTAGAAGTATGGGTGTTCAAGAATGTAAGTTGCTTTTTTACTGTGGTACTACACTGCTTGGGCCAGGAGGTTGTATGGCTACCTCATGAAGGCCTGTGCTGGCCACGTTTGCTGCTGTCTTGAGCTGTCCTGGCTTGTGAAGGTGTGACCCGTTAGTCAAGGACACTTTTGGATGACTGTCAATGATTTTGCTGTCCTTTACTTGTGGTACTGCTACTAGTCTTCTAATAGCTTAAAACATCACAGGAGAAACTGGGGAGAAGTAATGATAAAAAGTTGTGCTCTTGCAGAAAGTTGTTTTTTCTAAGGATACACATTCCTCAATACAGCTTGTCAAAAATAGTGATTTATAAAGGAATTCTATTTAAGTCTATTCTAGAAGTAATTTGCTGGCATAAAGATGAAATCTTTGCCATTTGCCCATCTGACTTTTTTTTGATGTGTATCTTTGAATCTGAAATGGCAGTAAAGTTAATAACTTTGTATAAGATTGATTAAAGATACAGAAAACTATTTTGAATTTTTTTTTTTTTTAGCTTGAAAACAGCAGCCTGACATGTGGAGTACTCATGCACTTGGAAATGCTTTCATGGCCCTTGTTCCTAGAAATACCTCTTGGTTCAACAGTAAGGCAGGGGACTAGCTGTTCAGTGAAAACATGTGAATAATCCTCAAATGAAGTTCAGGTGAGTGTCAGTCTAGAAGGGGAAGCAGCCTTGTGGATGTCCTTAGAACTTGCTAGTTAATATTTAAGTGTACTAAATAAATCAAAATTGAATAAATCAGGGGTTGAAACATGTTAGAAAACTTGCGTTATCTTGTCTAAATGAGAGTGTTTACCATGTTTGTGTAGCAGCTTTTCTGCTTATCTCCAAGGCAAGTGTGTGTATGAATAAAATCTTGGATTTGTGTTTTCAGTGACTGTAGTTTTTTTGTTGAGCAGTAGCACTGTGGTCCTGCTGGATGACATCCTGGGTAGGAGTCACACCAAGCCTTCAGTATTCAGCTTGTTCAGATTTGACAGGAAGGCTGTACAATTTGCTGGTTTGCTTTTTTTTTTTTTTTTAAACATGGACCTCTAGGATGTAAAACCTGCTCAGTATTATGTCTACTGCTATATCCTTACTAAGAAGATAAAAATACAGGGAAGTCTGTAGTTGGAGAAGCATACTGTGTCTCAGACACCTCATCTTCTACCATACTGTTCTTTACACTTGTTTTTGCAGCGAGGTAGAGTTGAACTCTGAGCTCCCTGCCTAGCAGGTTGTCTAATAACTTTTTTTCTGCTTTCCTAGAGGGTTCTACTATCCCCTTCAGTCTATATAAAGTAATTTGGAAATACTGTTGGCTTTTTTTTTTTCACATTGCAGGAACACACTGGCATTCTGGTCTAACATTATGTTGCTGTAATGTAAAACTAAGACATAGAAAAGAAGCAGTATGGTTGATACTTCTGTACATTCTAACATTTATAGGGCATGAGTAATTCAAGACAGTTGGCTTACATTAGGAAAATAGACTTTACTTACCCCCTCACTGGGTGATACATTTGTAAAGAAGCAACAATAAAAACTGCAGAGTTCATTTAGTTGAAATGAAACATTAGATTCTAAACTCCTGGTTTAACTGTTAGTTGTAGTCTTATTAAAAACCCTGCTTTACTCTCCCTCACTTAACAGTGGTAGCCAGGAAGAGAAGTTTGGGTTGTGGCTTTATCCTCAAGTCATGACCTCCCAGGATGAAACTTGTAATTAATTAAAAAAATAGCACTGAAACATTAAAGACTTTGCAGTTAGAAATATACAATTAATAGTCTCAAAAGTTCAGGCTTTACTTAGAGCAGGGTTTTCACTCTTCATTAGTGTGAATTCCTGGGGCATATGCACCAATAAACTTCAGCAGTTGCTGGTGACACTGCATGAGGTAACTGTCTCTTTGTTGCAGGGAGTTTTCATCACTGAGGTCAAATGGAAATACAGGATTTGGTGCTACGCATAATGCAGACTTGCCTAAACAAAGAAGAAATCAAGACTTACAGTAAAAGGCTTGATAAACTTTTGCCAGGACTTTGAAGGGAAAAAAAAGCTGTGACAGATTACTTTGTAATGCAATCTTGTATGTTACCATTTAAGTGTTACATCATAATTCTTGTATAACTGCCAAATTTGTGTGTGAACAAATGTGACTGATGCTAGATTGAAAAAAAAAAACCCACAACCCTTGTCTTCTGTTGCCCCAGGGAGGGAAATCTGTCTTTAGTTTAACCTGGACCAATATTAGAGATGCCTCAAGTAAGCCGGCATAAAGGATGGAGGCGCAGGAAAGTTACCTGGAAGACTTCTCTGGTATCAGTCTTGCAGTGGAAATTCTGGACTCTGATTTGAAATGAACTACTCTTGCAATCAGTTGATATAAACTTGTTTCAAACTGACAAAATATGAAAACAGTGTACCCAAGACTAAAGACTGCTGCATTGTTTACCATGTTTTAGGGTAAGAGATGATTCAAATAACAAGATGGCAATCAACGCATCTTCCTCGTGGACTTTCTTTCTTAAACTCAGTTTAGTATGAGCCTTAGACAGTGAAATCCTAAGAGAGGAATATAATAAAAATATAAAATAAAAAATATTGCAGATGAATGCCATCTGTATTGCTGTTTCAAGCACTTCTGAAAGTTGAGAGTGGAGTGTTTTTCTTCCATACTGGTGCTGTGTAAGCTTCCCACAGATACTGTCACTGACAAAGCACATATTTTATATATGACTTTCTTATGCTATGAAAGCAGTGGAACTTGGCATGTTCTCTATTGCTAATACTTTTTGCATAATACAAAGCTGTGATAATTTTTCCTAGATAGTTTTAATAGTAGTAATTGTTTCTTAAATTACTGGGGTTTTTTGCCTGGTAAAGTTAACTTTAACATCAATATATACAATAAATGGTAAATAAGATTCTTTATGCCTAAACTTTTCAAAACTTGAGTCTTGTCTCAATTTTTATTTAACAAGCTCTTGAGCAGGGTAGCACTATTTCTATCTGAAAGGTAGATATGTTACAATGAAAAGTAAGACATACAGGATTTTTAGTGCAGATGCTGATAATGTTGATCCATGAATAGAACCCCTTCTTACTCTGCGACTTGCAAGATAGTAGCCGTGAATGAGGCTTTCTGCTTCTGAACTCAGTTCAACATGGAGATTCTTGGCAAACGAAATAAACTAGAAAGAGGGTAGACATTTTAAATATTTAACCGGTAAATAAAGAATTTACACTTTTCACATCTTTTAACACACCAGGAACATAGTAATGTAGTTTGAATAATATATTCTACCACTAGTTTTTATAAAGACAGATTAACAGGTTTAAAACCAAGCAATCAGAATGGGCAGAGAAAAACTTCTAATTCCAGAAACAGTATGATATTCCCCAGTATAATGCATTTCTAAATTACTGGGTAGCATATGTTACCTCCTCATAATCTTGTGTTCTGAACTGCTGTGAGACTTTGTATAGCATGGCTTCAGGATTAATTGCTTTTTTCAAGATATGATGTACAAGAGGAGAAGACAGTTTACATGAAGGAAACTCATTGTATATCAAAAGCCCAAAACCATCCACAATGTTAGGTGGAATCAAACTCATGTCCTAAAGAGAAGACCCAGAGAAAGAAAATTATTATTTTGGCCTTTTGACTTGGAAAAACACCATAGTTTTTTCAATATGTAAAGGTTCAATGTTCATATATACTGAGTCCTGCAAAAGTAACTAATAAATTACCTGTAATATATACAGTACAATCTTGTTTCAATAGTAGCTGTCAAAAGCTATTCTGGATAAAACACGATACCTACTTTTAGGAAGGCTAGCGCATTTTAGCGCATTTGATTTAAGGTCACCGAAGTTGTGCCTTGTTGGTAAATACAAACAAATCTGATGATTTTCAGTATTCTGTAAGGTGAAATAACCATAAACACAACTGACTGCTGTAGTATAGTTACTGTCATAACAAGGCATGTGCTTTACCATCTGTCCAATTAAAAAGTTATCCTTATGTGTAGGTTTCTTTGAGGAAGAATCCACATCTACAAAAGACCAAAAATTGGTCTGAACCGAAACAGTAACTTGTTGGTCAGCCTCTTCTCCATACTTCTTCCCAGGAATGAATACTGTTGTCATTCTGCTCTCTAGCACTAGAAGGTGGCAAAATACACCAGTTAAGTGATCAACCTAGTTTAGATATAAATTCTAGTCCCGCATGCACTATCTGAAACCAGTCACAATTATGTATTATTTCACTGAATTACAATCAGTGGATCTCTGCAGTCTAGCCTGTGTAGCAAATGTAAGCTGACAGGACATCAGCTTTTTTTGTCCTTGTTTCTTACACAGGCTCATTAAAAAAAGCTTATGGATTTTCACAGCATTTGAGGGCCATAAGCTAGGGAACAAACCTAGCCATGAAACTGCACGTTTGTTTTGTTCTGGCCCCTTGTTTATTAGTAGATGTGAGATTACCAGACTGTAGAAGTTCAAGTTTATCCTTTTTATACGAAGATAAATCTCCTATGTAACAGATGCCACCCTTAGCCAGCACAGCACTGCAGGCTTGAATGCTAGCACGTCCAGTTCCGTGTTTATCTTTGGACACAGAAGGAAAAATTTCACTACAAGGTGGGTGTCGTATGCCACGAGGCAGAAGACATATGCTGTAATTCAGAACCCTAGAGGATTAAATAATTCCATCAGTCATAAATCGTCAAATTGTTCTGTTTTTCAAAACTTAAACACTATACTTTATAATGGTATTTATATATGTTAAGACTTGCTTAGAAACAAAAAAAACCCAACTCTTAACATAAAGCCAGTGTCGAAGCTAAATGTTTAACTTTGAATATTAAGGTCAAAGTCCAAGCCTTCTCTCCAACAGCTGCCAACAGGGCTTATTTCTTAACGGGTTTAACATGAGGCAAATCATAGTTTGCAATAGAAGTAATTCCTAGGAAGTCAAAGAAGTGTCATAATTGAATCCCGTATTGTTATCTCCTAGAGAAACTTTTCCAGTGATTGAAAAGGGTAAAGGATTAGTAATCCTGTCTCCTTCCGGGAAAAATGAAAAGGCTGGAAACTTGCAAGCTCTGCTCTGTCCTGTCCCCCACTGCTTTTTGAGAAAGTGGGTATACAATTTCTTGTTCATCCCCTGTACTATGTTCCTTGGCACAGAGAGGTTGCAAATTGTCTGTTCCGCCACCAAAGGCTCCTAATCATTTTAAGATGTCAGAGCATGATTTATCCTACTATTAATAACTGGGAGATACATAATTATTAGTAAATAGGCTATCATACCAATAGAAATATGATGTAGGAAATGCCTACTTTGACAGGCTGCTGACAATAAAAAACTATGTGCACATACAAGACAGTACAAATGACAGTACTGACCCAAGATTACCGTGTGCAACTGTTTTGATATTAACCAGATGTTTCAATTCTTGAAACACTCTGAGCTCCTATGATTTCTCTTACAAAATCTTACACTTAACCTGAGGAAAAAAATGCTGCAGCCCACATTATTTTCTAATTTGAACTAATTTCTAGAGCTAAATTTTGAAATGGTTAAAGTATTTTTTCCACAACAAAAAAATACTAATGAATTTGTTGAAGGACTCTCAAAATTCATGCCACTTTCAAAAATCTTCAAAAGTAAAAATGAAGCCCTGTTTTGAGTTAGGAAGGAGAAGGTAATTTTGTTTAATGTAAATTTAAAGCTGAGCATATTGTACTTTTCTGCAGTGTATATGAAACTGTGTTAACAGTTTATAGTTGTGTGAAGGGGTAAATATATAAAATGCATAAATACAGAAAAACATTTTGTTAAAGGCAACAACACCTGGATTTATGACCTATGTGTAAAGATGTACATGACTTCCGATACCTTATCAGTATAGTTTTTATAAAAAAGACTGATAAAAAATAAAGTATCTATTTCTATTTACATACTGTTTATTAAGTGAAAATACTGATAGCTGGAACTGGTGATGAAAAGGCTTAAAGTGACACATGATTTCAAAAGTCAAGCCCTTTGCTTTTATCATTACCAGCTTCTGGAACAGTCTTCGGTTTTGATATTAGAAGAATGTTTTGTTTGAGCTCTGCTAAATAGTGCTAGTGTTAAAATCTTACTGAGATTATTATGAGAGTGTTAAGGGGTTCATTATTAGTGAAGTTCTGATCTAGATTTATCACTCAAAATAAATAAGAATTGCCCAGGGATAAAAATTGGGTATTTTTGCCAAGCCAGAGCCCATATATTCTTTTAAAATACAGTCTATAGTTTTTCATGTTAAGACCGATCCTATTATCTTTACAAATACTCTTATTTTAAAATCTAATTTATCTGAAAAATAACTAATCTCTTTACCTATCAATTACTAGTGTGTCGCTTGTCACAATCAACAGATCCAGATAATCTGTGTTTTCTTTTTCACATGTCTGTACTAGACTCAGCAATATTGCGAGTTTAAGAGTATTGTAAGTGCCTGGTGGAACAATCTGAGAAGCAAAGATATTGGCAAGGATGGCAGTAAACCTCCAGCACGAACTTGAAGTCAGGGAGAGCAGATGCTTAAAATTGTCACTGACAAAAGAAGAACCTAATGAAAAAAAAGTACAAGTTAACAAACACTTAATGAGAGAGCTACACAGATACATTAGAACAAATCACCATTCTAGTCTTAATACAAAACTTAGAAAGAATATATTTATGTATTAAGCACAAACTCAGAATTTCTGACTATTAATTTTACCACTAAAAAGGTAACAGTCATGATCTGCTAAAACTGATGGAATAAAAAAGGAATAACAAACTGAAATATCAGGTTTGTGTAATGTATGACTTCTAAGTACCTTCCAATGGATATGAGAAGTTGGAATGAGGAAGTTGAAGGACTGCAGTAAATAATTATGTTATTTCCCAATGCGTGGAAAGTAGGCAAAAGAAGATATTTCTAATAACAGTAAGCATACTTTTCAGACTGTATGAGGAAAGTCACAGAGTGGTTTTGTAATCTGGACCTCTAGATAACAGAAAATTGTACCGATGCTCGAGATCTTGTTCTAGAAGGTTTTCCAACTTTTTCAGTTAATTTTTAATAGAACTTTCTTACCACTTGGTTTACAGAGCTGTATGCTATTGACTT